CACTGCCCACGAGCCTGTCCTCAAGCCAAGCCTGTTGCTATGGGCAAGCTCTCCAGCACCTGCATGATTGCTCATGGTCCTGGGTAGATTACTGGACAAGTCAAGCTGCTAACTGCCCTCAGCATAGCGCAGGCCCATCTGCTCTAAGAGCACCAACTACCTAGTGGCTGTTTTGTCTTCCTCTCCTGAGGGGCCGTGAGCACTGGATCCAGATCAGACTTGAATTCAAATCCCGTGTGACCTTGGTGAAGTGCGTGTCCTCTCTAGGCCTCATTCCCTCCTCTGGACGACAGAGAGGATGCCTGGTGATCCTGACTGACCCCTCTCCTTACTCTGAGTCATGACAGCTGAGCCTCTACTGCTGGACACCGTGCCCAGCACCACGGCCTGTCCCCAGCAGGCTGGTCACATGGGCCATAAAGCCAGAGGTAGAGAGCTGGCTCCTGGGGAGCAATTAGTTGTTTTGCAAGTTTGGAAGAGAGGAATGGGAAGATGGAGGGTGGGTAAGGCTGCTCTGAGTGAACCAGATTATCAGCTTCCTCATCTTCATTACCCCAACCATACCCCAACCCAGGTCCAGCCATGGGGTCCCAGCCTGAGAAAGCTCATACCCACCTCACTATTCACCAACCAAAGCAGCCCAAGGCCCTCTGCCAGCCCAAGGGGCAGAGTCATCTGTCTACCTCTGACCAGCCCAGGACTGTGGTTTTAGGCAGAGGGCTTTTTTTTGCAGAAATAACCCAGCCTCCCACTCATGCACCCCTCTACCCTTTTATTCCACACTGGCCTTAACACCAAGCTGGGAGATTCCATGTAGGAGAACTTCTTCATTCAATAAATATTGAAAGGGCCCCAGGCCAGGTCTGACGCAGGGCGCTGGAGGCGAACAGACAAATCAGACATGACCTCAACCTCAAGGAGCTTGTGTTTCAGTGAGAAAGCGAACAGCAGAGTGGAGGAAGGCCTGTGGGATCACAAAGGAGGCAGCTGACCCCAGAGAGTCAGGACCATCTCCTGATGCTGAGGACAAATTAACCAGATGAAAGGAGGGTGGGAACCGAGGATGGATAGAAACCAAAAGTGCAGAAACTGGGCTTTTTTTTTTTTAATTGCAGCCAGAACAGAAAGTCTACTGCAATAAGGGCAAAGAGAACGGGGGGTGGGGTGGTGAGAAACAAGCCTGGAGAGACCATTCGGGTGAGGTTCCGCGCCCGTCCTTCCCCTTCACAGGCTCAGCCCTGTCCTGCCTGCCACTGTTCAGTGAGACGTGTGGCCCTGGGAAGATTCCTTTCGTCTCTGGCCTCAGTCTCCCCATCTGGAGATGGGGCACCAGGCCAGCTGATCCCCAAGGGCCCAGCCAGCCTGGGCAGTCCCTAGCCTCGTCATCTCTGCCTGGTGGCCGCAGAGCTGATGGGCTTTTCCTGAGCTCTCTGGATGTGGACTGCCTTGCCCTCTCCTGGGAAAGGTCTGTCCGGAAGTGGGTGCTCCTCCCTTCCGCTTCTATATCCATGACAGTCTCACTGCAGCCTCCGCCCCACCCCTGTGGCTGTTCTCACCAAGTCCACTTGCCAAATCCAGTCAACACTCTCAGACCTTTTCTTGCTTGCCCTCCCGTTTGCCTTGGGCTTGGCTAACCACTTCCTCTATCCCCCAACACCCTTTGGCCTCAGCCTCTTGAAACACCATACTCACCCTCCCCTGGTGGTTCTCCTACTCTGAGCACGCTGCCCTGTCTGTCTGCCTCTCATGTCCCCTTCACCATGCTGTTCCTCAGGTGGTGAGTGGCCGCACCCACCCTCACCAGTCACCCCATCCCATGACAGTCTCACCGTCTCTCTGCCCAGAGACCTGCTTCCTCTGGGCCGAGAAGAGGCACACTTGGTGTCTTTCAAAAGCCGAGGAGCTTCCCTGCAGGCCAGAGCAATATGCCCAAGCCCTGCATGCCTTTGCCCTCCTAGCAACAGAGGGAAGCACCCCAGGACAGGGGCGGCCAAGATCAGAGCCTGGCGTGATGAGCAACGCTCACCTCCAAAGAGCGTCCTTTGAGTTCCCCTCTTGGCATATCTTTTTCCCTTAATACTAACCACCTTCTAACTTTCTATACAATCCACATAGCTGTTAGGGTAAACATTGACTGAAACTATCCACCCTGGTCGAGCACCATTGTAACCATTCTTGTGAGTTTTACGACAGGAGGTCCTGGTAAGGAACATGGACCTAACAAGCCACCACCAACCAGCAGAATTCGGGAGAGGTTAAAAAGAGATGCCACGAGTCCTACCACCTCCCAGAATCCTTCTCGCTGGCACCCATCTTGGCCGAACATGTGTGCTACCAGGAAGGACCCTGAGTCAGACTGATTGGCCAGAGACAACCTGGAAATCGATCCCATCACCGTAAAACCCAAGCCATGTGGCAGAGCAGCCCTTCTGATCCTCCCTGATCCTCCTGCTCTCTGCCCGGGCACCCCACCACAATAAAGTCTCTTGCTTTGTCAGCACATGTGTCTCCTCCGACAATCCATTTCCAAGTGTTAGACAAGTGCCTCCTTTCCTACCCTGGAAAGGGTACCCTTTCCTGCAACATATTCGTTATGGTTGTGTGTGTCTGTGGGGTTACCATCTCCCTGATGGAATTTAAGCAACAGGGATCTCCATTTTCTTCACTGCTAGATCCCCAACACCTAGAACAATACCCGGCCTATGACAGGGTCTCAATAAATATTTGTTAAATGAACAAAGGGAAAAAGAGTGAGTTGGAAATGCCTACCTGGCTGAGGTTCCTGAAGACCCAGCAGTCTGCACGCAGAGGCTTCCCCAGAACCCAAAGTCCCTGCCTCTGTATGGCAGTCGTATCCTGAGCCTTCACTCACTGCTCTCTCAGCCTCAGCCTCTGTCCCTGAGCCCCCCAGAAGATTCGCACCCCCAATCCTCAAGAGCAGGTATACAAGCGGCAGCCTCCTTTGAGTCACTGGGGAACCTGGGACCCTTCTCAGGTGGGACCTTAATCTGTCCTGAACCTATGATAAAACCACTGCCCCAGCCACGCAGCTGAACCCAACACACCGAGGGGACTCTCCACCCCAAGGCCCGGTGCCCAAAGCATGGGTACACAGCGCTGAGAAGAGCACCCCCCCACCTCCGTGGGGCCTGGCAGAGAGAAAAGATCAGAAACCCTAAGTGGGGAGCTCCAGGATAGAAGGTGGGATCGCACCCTGGGAGGACAGCTGAGTCCTGGAACCTTCATTTCAAGCAAGACAGCTTCGTGCCATGGCTTTCCTTTAACATCCCAACTCTCATCCTGGGGATGCAACACGCAAGCATGGAGTCCAGACCCCTCTGTAAAACTTTTATTTAGAAATCTTCCCAATATATCCTTATATATATACACGCATCATCACCACATGGGTTTTGTCGCTAAGAGTCACACGCCCACAGTGTTGGCCTCTGGGCTGTACAAAGGTCAAGGTACCTGGACCGGTTACTCCTCTTCTGCAGAAAAACGCAGAGACCAACGCCACGCATCACGTACAGTACAACATTGACGGAAAGTGCTGGGCCCGCCCACAGGAACGATGCACTATGTACACTGGCCGGGGCAAGCCTTCGGCGGGGGGCCACGTACCATTGAAATCACAAGTACGACAAGACCACCCCCAAAGGCCGAGACGGTCGTGGGCTGACTACAGATGCTGTGCCCTTTGTTCTGCTTTCAGAAAAGGATAAAGGTTGTACCATCTTGTCGTTTGCCACTACAAATAAAAGAATATGAATTTTTCTTAAAAGACATGATTCCCTCTAGTCATTTAAAATCATCTTTGTTCTCCGCATGTTTTTTACAGTTTTCCCTCTTTGACAGATATTATTCTTGGATGGAGAATATTCATGGGTGAAGAGGAGGCAGAGGAAGAAGGGTATGGTGGGGGAAAGTGCTGGAAATGAAAGCAAAAATGATGGATCTTCTCTGGTTCTTAACAAAGTCACAAAGCTTTGCCTACCCCTCCCCTAGGCCTGTCTTGTACTACATTTTGCACATTCTGCCCACAATCCCGTATTTCCCTTCTAGACTCCCTTCTATGCCTTGCTTTGGGATGAGACTGAAATGAGGTCAATCTGGAAAGATGAGGATAATCTAGAAAATCCTTAAGTGGGCTAAAGTGGTTTAGAAGCTAAATTACCCAAATGCTGCACAGAGAGGCAGACTGGCCCACTGTCTAGGTCTTGGACTCCGGGTGAGAAATCCCACAGCAGGAATGATACTGAGAGCAACAGAGTTCTTTATGGTCTCAAAATGCTTCTACTTCCATGATTCCATTCAGTCCATACCACAGCCCTAGGAGACAGGCCAAGCCAGGGTATTTATGAGAAAGACATGCAGAGAGAGAACTTTACCAGATCACACTGCAAGTCTGAGAGAAGAGACAGCCAGAAGCTCAAGCTCCTGTTAAAATGTATAATCCATCTCCTAAAACCCATCCATGATGCTCACTGTGGCCACTTTTCACTCCCAGGTCAAATTAATCCACTGGAAGCAGACACAGCCTCAAGACCTAGAACAGATGTTCCATCTTCGGACAGATGGGATTCCTACAGGGGCTTCCAAGTATCAGAAAAGAACCCATCCAAAAGTTTGTCAAAATATCATGGCAGGGGGGGTGCTGAAATGGGACAGAGAGTGCTACAAGGGTTAACCATGCAGGTTCCATTCCCACGAACTGGACCTCACAACTTAAAAGAGGGGGGAATGCAGGGATCATCCCCGTGTGCACGTGGCTGTTCCCGAGGCCCTGCCACAGTGAGGGCAGACCATCACACTGGAGCCCACAAGGCGTGCGGACCTTTCCCGACAGCCGCAGTGACGGTTCTTCCACATCGCTACAGACAGGGCAAAGCACCGGAGCACCGGAGCCGGCCGGGGTGACTTGAGGGCACAATGACAGGTATGCAGCTTGCTCCATGGGCCTGGGATGTGGGTCACAGGCAGGCCTCGCCTGAAGAAAATCACATCCCACCATCTGGATTGACACAGGAGATCAATGAGGGGGCAGAGGTCCACTCTACAAAAGGATTCTCCACGTTACCAAGGGACTTGCAGTAGAATTGCTTTAAAATATGAAGGATAAGGATTTGATTTACAAAAATGTCATGTACAACTTTTGGCGGGGAGCACTCCTCATGCGTTACGCCAGCCTCCCATACACACTCGTGATACCTGAAATCTGCAGACTCAGGGATGTTGAAAGTTCTGCTAAGTGAAAGTGAATGTGCGTGGGTCTCAACTGGTCTCTCACTGGGATCCCCAGGGCCTAGAGGTGGGGCTGGATCCTGGGTCATATCAAGACCCTGAGGTCCCAAAATAACTGAAGTCAAGCAAAATCCCAAATACCAGGAATTCATAGGACAGAATTTGTCATCAATTCGGTTTCAGAACATAGACCAGACCATTAGCCAACAGATATCCTGCAACAGGGAGGCCCTTCTGCACAGCCAGAACACCAGAAGGGGCTGCATATCTCCTCTCAGGACCAGCACAGACCCCATCAGCACACCGGCATCTGTGCCCCCCACAAACAGCAACGTGTCACTGGGAATACAGGTAGGTAGCTCTGAGACACAATCACAATTTGAAGCCCACATGCCCCAAACAGCTTTTGCTCAATTTCACTATCATTTTTCCTTTGTCTGCCTTCAAACGAAACCCACAGGGCACACTCACAGCCGCAGCCTCGGTCCCCACAGCCACAAGCAGGAGGAAGGCAAATCTCAGTGGGAAGAAAGCAGAGCTTCGATCCCCAGGGCAAGAAGTAAGGGCTTCTGGGTTTTCTGACCCTCTGGCCCAGCTAAGTAAGAGCAGGCTGTCCACTGGCCATCTTCTTCAGCCAGGCCCTGAAGAAGGCACCTCAGGACTTGTAATTCTCTGCATCAGCTGGCAAGCTGGATGGACCAACGTGGGCCCGGGTGAAGATGAGGCTCAAGAAATGGGCAGCTATTGGGTACCTATATATTCGGACAGCGTGGCCACAAAAGCCACCCCAGCCAGCTTGGGAGGGGCTAAAGGCAAGGCAGAGGCTGCCAGACGCCTCTGGAGAGAGCTGACAAGCCCAGGTCTCAGCGAAGACAGGGCTCCCATGCTCCAGACCAAAAGCAATGCCCCTTGAGCCTCTTATTTGAAAAGTCTTAGGGATCTGGAAAAAGGGGAAGACTGTGCCGTCTTCATAAAAAGTACCTACCACTTTGCTCCATTTTACTGGTCTCCTACTGAGGCAGGAAACAGGAAAACCAGCCCCGGAGGCAGCTGGGACTCCCCAAAGTTCAGACATCAAGGAAAGCTCATCGAGTCTATGTCCTACTTCAGAGCTGCCCAAAACTCACCCCACTTGCCCTAAAGTCCATGGTCCCAGCAGCCTGAGGGCACCCGCCTGGCTGGTCCCGCGTGGCCCCAGACCTATCACCGGGGGCCGGCTCCATCCGCGGCGGGCAGCATGGCAGGATGGAGACTGCGGGCTGTGTGTTTGGGCACTGGCTCTTCTGTGTAGCTGTCCGGGCTGGCTGCCCCGTCCAGGGAGCTGCCACAGCTGGAGTTTGGGGAGAGCACGTCCTGCAGGAGATCCTCGGGAGGCGCGTTGCCCCCTCCCCCCCCACCCCCTCCACCAGCCCCCAGCTCCACGGGGTCTTTGCCAGGCTTGGCCCGCTGGGTGCCTTCCTCCTCCTGGTCATTGAGCAGCTTGGCCAGGAAGTTGATGTACTTCATGGCCAGGCGGAGGATCTCATTCTTGCTGAGCTTCTTGTCTGGGGGATGCGTGGGGATCAGCTTGCGGAGCTCAGCGAAGGCCCCGTTCACATTCTGCTGCCGCCATCGCTCCCGGCTGTTGGTGAAGATGCGCCGCACAACTTTGGTGTGGGGACCTGGGGGCAGGAGGACAGGTTAGGAGAGTGGGTTAGAGATCCCCCAGGGCATAGTCTCCTGTGGGGAAGAAGAGAAACCATCCATCGGAAAGCTTGAGAAACCTTGGGAAACCTAGAATGCCTTCTTTCCTTTTGCTCAGAAAACTCTTACTCATCCTTCAAAACCCTCAGCTGTCTTCTCTCTGGGAATTTTCCCTAACCCCTCAGACAAGTCTAACCAACCACCATGGCCCTATAATCCCAAATCTCCATCACCTTTGATCATGACTGTATGTTTCCTAGCTTGTTTTCTTCTGTGAGCTGTGAGACATTTCAGGACAGGAATTTCATCACTAATTCATTCATTAAGTCATTCACTTGTGCTGAAAGGCCATATAGCACTAGTCAGATAAACTCTAGAGCCAGACTTTCTGGGTTTAATTTCTAATGATTACTCCCTAGACCGTAACTCTGGGCAAATTACCTAAACTGTGCCTTAACTTCATCACCTCCAAAATGGACAGAGTACTAGTGAACCAAGTTATAAGACTGTCATGTGGAACTAACAACTAACACAGGCAAAGTACTTAAGACAATACTTGCCTCTGATTAAACCTTCACTAAATGTTAGCTTTATCCATTCATCAGTTATTTACTGACAACCAGGCACTGTGCATCAAAACTCAACATTCAGAAAACTAAGGTCATGGCATATGGCCCCGTCACTTCATGGCAAATAGATGGGGAAACAATGGAAACAGTGACAGACTTTATTTTGGGGGGCTTAAAAATCACTGCAGATGCTGACTGCAGCCATGAAATTAAAAGACGCTTGCTCCTTGGAAGAAAAGCTATGACCAACTTACACAACCAATTAAAAAGCAGAGACATTACTTTGCCAACAAAGGTCCATCTAGTCAAAGCTACGGTTTTTCCAGTAGTCGTGTATGGATGTGAGAGTTGGACCATGAAGAAAGCTGAGTGCCAAAGAATTGATGTTTTTGAACTGTGGTGCTGGTGAAGACTCTTGAGTGCCCCTTGGACAGCAAGGAGATCAAACCTGTCAATCCTAAAGGAAATCAGTCCTGAATATACTGGAAGAGCTGATGCTGAAGCTGAAGTTCCAATACTTTAGCCACCTGATTTGAAGAACTGACTCATTGGAAAAGACCCTGATGCTGGGAAAGATTGAAGGCAGGAGGAGAAGGGGACGACAGAGGATGAGTTGGTTGGATGGCATCACCGACTCAATGGACATGAGTTTGAGTAAACTCTAGGAGTTGGTGATGGACAGGGAAGCCTGGTGTGCTGCAGTCCATGGAGTCACAAAGAGTCGGACACGACTGAGCGACTGAACTGACCTGAGGCACTGTGCAAGGCATTAAGAAATAAAGGTGAAGAGGACAGAGTCCCTGCCCTCCTGGAGCGCACATGTTAATGAGGATGACAGATAACAAACAAGCAACAAACAAATAACAGACAGGAAGCTGAATGTAAATGAAAAGATGGAAAGGAGCTTCATGTTTTAGCTGAGGTGGCTGGGGATAGCCTTGTGGAAGAGGTGATGTCTGTAAGTGAAGTGAAAGTTGTTCAGTCGTGTCTGAGTCTTTGTGGTCCCATGGACTATAGCCCACCAGGCTCCTCTGTCCATGGAATTCTTCAGGCAAGAATTCTGGAGTGGGTTGTCATTTCCTTCTGCAGGGGGTCTTCCCGACCCAGGGAGGGAACCTGGGTGTCCTGCATTGCAGTCAGATTCTTTGGTATCTAAGCCACCCTGTAAGGGAAGAACTTAAAGTCAAAGAAGAGCCAGCCAGACACAGGAAGGGAAGTTGGAAGGGTATGTGCAAAGGCCCTGAGCTGGAAAACAGTGGAAGCCAGCCTGGCTAGATTAGTGTGGGTGAGATCAGAGTAGGCTAGGTCTAGATTCCACAGGGCCCTGCAGTAAGATACAGGGATTTTATTCTAAGGGTGCAGAAAAACACAGAATAAGAGCTTAGTAAATATTTGCAGACTAACTGATCATGCTGACAGGTGGAGAATGGAGGAGAAAGCAGTGGGGAAATGACTTCACTGTGGGCTCTCCCGCTCCCAGGCTAGGAGTGGAGAGATAGCCCTGCCCAGGCTTGATCTGAGGCTCTGGGCAGTCGTCTGAAGGCTGACTCCGTCTCCCACATCTACAGCGCACTGAATACACACTGGACCGGTATTCACTAGCGCTCCTGTACTAAGACTTGCAGAACAGGTGCAGGCAACAGCGTGCATGTATCGAGCACCTATGGTATACAAAGTACTGCACTAAATGTCCTAGCCTGACCAGTGATTCCCAAATCCAAGAATGGCAGAGGAGGGCCCCACTAGCTCCCAGGTCCCAGAGCTGAGACAGCTACTTCCCTCCCAAACACTGAGTCACAGAGCTAGCTCCTGGCAGTCCTCAGGATGCTCTGTGCCCTCAAGGACCTACCAGTCCTGGGATAGTTGTTTGCCCTCCTCTGATGACCCTGGAACCAGACCTCAGACATGAAAAGTTGGGTAGGAGAGAAGACATCACCTAAGATCCATTACTCATTTCACAGTTAGGCAGACTGTGGCCAGAACGGAGGCAGACCATGCCCCTGCAAACGGACTCATCAGTGCCAACACTTTCTGCTTGATCACCTCTCTCCTACAATCACACACACACCATGTGCCCAATCACTCATCTCTACCCGTAGTGCCTTAGAAGCTTGTCTTTCCAAACCCCAGCATGCCCCCATCCAGCTGAAAGTGTTAGTCACTCTTTTGTGACCCCGTGGACTATAGACTGCCAGGCTCCTCTGTCCATGGGATTCTCCAAGCAAGAATACTGGAGTGAGTTGCTATTTCCTTCTCCAGGGGAACTTCCTGACCCAGGGATCAAACACACATCTCTTATGTCTCCTGCAATGTCAGGCGCGTTCTTTACCACAAGCACCACCCAAGCTGACTCTTCACCAAAGGTCAGATCCAGGCTGGGAAAAACACAACACTCCTGCTGGGCAATCCCACCCTGGCCTCCAGGCCAGACAGAGGGGAGTTCCTCAGCTATGCCATCAGGCCTGGTCCCTTCCCTGCGGCTGCAAAGGTGGGGAAAGGAGCGTTGTCGCTGCTGTCACAGCTAGAGCTACACAGACTCCAGAGGCAGCACCCATCCCAAGCCAGGTCCTAAAAGCACTTTACCCCACTGGTTCCTCAACAACCTGTGAGGAAGCTTTTATTCTCCCTACTTTACAAATGAGAAAACCAAGACCCAGAAAAGTTCAGCAACAGGAAACCACATCAAGTACTGACTTTAGACCTATGTCATTAACAGCTCCACTTTTATGGACTCCTTTTGGTTAAGTCTCTGATTTCAAAATCCTGCGGACATATCTTGCACCCTCACCCTTCACCTCCATCCTCTCAGGTCTTTCTCAGAGAACCACCCACCTCTCCACAGCTTCCTCTCACCTGAGTCTATCCCTTGCTCCATGTCCTCTGTCTCATTCTCTCTGGGCACAGAGTAGGTGCTTGGTAAACCCTGGGCATCCAGAGTGCACGGGGAGCTCCAGAAAGTCCTTGGGCTCTGAAGAGCCTGCTCTCCTGCCCCCTGGCGCTGGGCCCCCTCTACTACATCTGGTCAACCCTGGGAAGAGGGAGGGGGTCCTTCAAATGTCCCCCTCCTCCTCAGGTAGTTCACGTTAAAAGTGCTGAAGCCCCTGGGATGGAGAAGGGAGGGAGTAGGGTAGAATCTCCTGTGTCAGGAAGGGAAAGGGACAAGAGGGCCCCACTGTGCATGGACCTGCGACAAGACCTTTAAAGGTACAATTCCAGGCAAGGAGGAAACTCCAGACTCCAAAGAGGACTTGGGAGATAGTGCAGATAATCCCCGGAAGTCGGTGCTTAGAATCAGGGGCACCATGTGTTTCTGCCCTCCCCAGGAATCCTTGCCAAGTGTAGGAATGGAGCTAGAGTGGAGACAGCAACTAACAGTGGAGGTTTAGGCTAAGCACCACAATGTGTCCCTCACTCCTATGTCCTCTCTTGCCAGGATTAAGTGTGGCAACCCCCAGCTCCACCCATGACCTCCCCTAGTCCCAGGTCAACAGGGCAAGGACTTTGACAGTTAGGGGCTCCAAGATAGCTCACCCATCTCTGTGAGACACCTAGGATGTAGTCCCTGGTGGTCCCGCCTTCAGGGGCTTGAACAGCTTGAGGGAATGAGTACACAAGTTGGGGGTGGGAGTAAACTCACCATCAGTAATCTCCATCTCGTAAGGGGAGGGTCTCCTCTTCACTCGGTTGTTGGTGGCGAACATAGGGAAGGCATCTGGCTCCCCAAAGAAGCCACTGGAAGAGGGAGCAGGCAGACCACAAGATCACAGACCCTCCCCACCTGTTCTTGAGCCCCCCAACCCCTGGAAAAACAAGGGCAGCCCTGGTCCCTTCGCACCATCATTGGGGCTAGAAGAAACATAAAACACACACACACACACACACACCCCTCACCCAGCCTTTCTCTGTGGTTAGACAAGCAACGGGAGGGGGGCCACATACCTGCACACCCTGAACACACACACACACACACACACACACAGTCAATGGCGAACACAGGGAGAAAACACGAAAATGAACACACATCCTGCACAGACATACTCCCCTCCCCCATACAAGTGCACAATCCATAAGACACCTCTGCTCCCAAACAGGTGCTCACACAAGCAGACAGCCTTCACAGCTGGGAGTGTGCAATTCCTGCATCTCATAACAGCACCCTGTTCCCTACCCTCAGCCTCACCCCACCTTCACCCCAGTCCTATGGGGCCCATGGACAGACAACAGACAGGAAACCCTGACTCAGTACTGCTGATATGCTCCCCCATCACCCACTCCAGTGGATTCTCCCTAGCTTCCTTCTCCAGCATCCGGCAGACTCCCCACTGCCCCACACTGTTTCTCCCTGCCTCATCTTCCTGTCTCCACCCCAACCCTGCCTCCTGCTCTCCACTACCTCAGTGGTCCCACCAGGGAAATGGACACCTTCACACAAAAGGGAACACAGGTCCAGGCCAGAGATCGCAGCTAGGAGAGGAGGAGCTTAGGAGAGGAGGGAGGGCTCCATTCCCCAGGTGGGAGATTCGGAGGAGGGAGCCCTCTCCAATCACTCTCAGATGCACTTCTCTCACCTGTCCACCGAGGGTTGCAGAATCCAGAAGAATTTCACACCGGAGCACACTGAGACACTTGCCTGGTACTCACACTCACAAGACTCCTCCAGTCCACCCGCCACCAACACCACGCAGCACCCCGCACTTCTGCTCACACCCAGCCGCATGCCTACACTCCCCCTCAGCTTCTGCGCACCCTGCACGCAGCAGACATAAGCCATCCGCACACTGCCCCCTGCGTGCACACCCACGCGCGCACACACACACACACACACATTTGCAGAGGGCTCCTTCCTTACTTGCACGGGGTCTCCAGCCTAAGGCTTTTCCGTCTCCGGGTGTAAACCCCCTATCCCCTTCTCTCCGCGAGCTCAGCCACTCAGCCGGGCCGGGAGAGGATGGCCGGTTCCCCACGTGAGGAAGGGGAGTCCCAGGGCCCGCACCGCCTGCCCACCCGCCCCTCCCGCCGGCCCTGACCTGCCGAGCGAGGCCAACGGCTGGCTGAGGCTGTAGAGCAGCGCGCGGCCGGGGGCGGCGGGGGCCGCCAGCGCGGGCGGGCTCAGCTGCACCATGCGGCCGTCGCCGGGCAGTTCCGCGGGGGCCGAGGCGGGCGCGGGCCCGGGCGGTCTGCACAGCTCGGTGGTGGGCACCCGAAGGCGCGCTTCGGCCGCCGCAGCCTCGCGGCCCTTTAAGTCCCGCGCGGCACCGCCCCCACCGGCGGGGCCGCCCCCCGGGCCGCCGCCGCGCGTGCCCAGCTCGATGACCGGGGGCTCCGCCGGGGCTGTGCGGCTCGTCTCCTTGGCGACGCCGTTCAGCAGGACCAGGTGCGGGGGGGCCATGCGGGCCTCGGCCGCGTCCCGTCCCTCTAGCGGGGGGTCACTGTGTGCCGCCTCGCTCGGCGGCTGCTCCGTCATCCTGCGGGTAGACAGACAGACAGACAAGCGGACGCCCGCTCAGAACACGGCCACCGACCCACCCACGCTGGGGGGCGGGATGGGGCGGGGGGTGGGGTGAGCTGAGGGAGGGGGTGAAGAGCGGAGGGAAACCCACGCACGGAGACGTGAGAAGACGCGGACTAACAGCGCCACGTGGACACACACGAGCCCGGGGTGCTGGGGCCGGAGAGAAAGGGGGGTCTCGGGTTTGGGAGAAGAGAGGAGGATGCCTGGGAGACAGAGGCGAGGGCCGAAGGGGCAGGGGTGGATAAGAACCACAGAGACATTGGAAGAAAAGGAATACAAATACAGCCAGCACAAGAAAAACAGTTGGGGGGGGGGGGGCGGGTGGGAGGGAAGGAGGAAGGAAATGCAGAAAGAGGCGAGAAAGAAATATCACCCGTGCCCCTTCTCGGGCCGCACGGGAAGAGGAGGGAACAAATCCCCGACCGACGGTGCTCTTCCCGCCCCCCCTTTTGGTTTTGGCGGGGAACCTGTCGCGCGGAGGTGGGGTGCTTTTTGAAATCCCTCTCTCCTTTCAACAGTACGTGCCCCCAGCCTACCGCCACATATTTACACCTGGAAATCTGGTGGGGGTGGGGGTGGGGGAGCGATCAGAGCTGACAGAATTATCCGGAGGAACTCAGCTCTCCCTTTCAACACACATTCACCCCGCTGCGGGGGTGTCGGTCCACACCCAACAAATCCACCTGTGTTCTGTGGAGCCGCTGGAAAACCCAGTGACCCTTTACTCCCACCTGGACTAGAGATGGGCCGTCAGGGAGGGAAGAGGATGATCCCGGCCCTACCTCCCTGCACACTGTACCTCCTTCTGCTCAGCTGGACTCAGAAGTGAGGTGGGGTCTAGAAGGGCGGCCTGGCTGAGGCGGTGTGGAGCCCGGACATTCGAGGGGTAATGTTCTTAAGGCCACTGGACTCTGCGCTCCCATCCACGAATGTGAGGAAGGGGTGTAATGATGGCTGAGGAACTCCTCCAGCACTCACCCATCTCTCTTTCCCACTTCGGTGCTGTCTTCTGGGGAACAGGAGGAATACCTCATATATGCATTTAAAAGCACTGTGCAAATGCTCAAGTAAACATTATTACAGACAGAGAGACTGGGCCCAAGAAAGGGGACTGCCTTGCCCAAGGTCACACAGAGTGGGACTAGAACTCCAGTCTCTGTCTTTGCAATCCTCCCATGCATGCATGCATGCTAAGTCGCTTACCCTTGCATACACATATATCCATATATCCCGTATATCCCCCATATACCCCATATATATCCCTCCCATATATCCCCCCATCTCCAACCAAGGACATTGTTCTTCTCCTCCTCACCCATACTCCAGGGTGACTGCAGGCAGGGTGACTCCCCACTTCCACTCTCTTCCATAACATGCCACAACCACCCCCCCACAAAAAAAATGGAAACAGAAGAACTACGAGACTCTGGGTCCGGAGTGTGAAAATGCTTGTCACTTTTAATAAAACAACAAAAATAATCAACTCGACAGACTTTGTAAGATGTTCAAAATAAAGTTTCTGCTATCGGAATTATATACTTGGGGTATTTTATAACAGAAAACAAATACACAAAAATCCAACTCAGCCCCAGCCAGAGAATTCATTCCTGGCAGCCATTCTGCCCCTGCACCACTCTGGGCTAGTTGGCCTGGGAACCATCATCCCACCCCAGAAGAAAGACGGGAACTTCTGAAACCTCCAGAGCTCACTCAGCTTAGTTGCCACCAGACACACAGCTGATGAAGAATCACCATTCCGATTATGCTCCTGCCCTAAGTCTGCCAGCCCCATGGGCAGGACCCTGAAACGACAAAATTCCCCTAGGCTTGGTATACCCTGGCTGCAAAGGCAGTAGGTCTGCAACACTTCATTGGAAGCGAGTCATGATTATGGTGGAAACAATAGGTCTATATACACAGAATGGGACCGCCAAGACATTTCAGTCACTAGAAATGCACCAGAGGTATACCACTGGAGACTTCCTGGCTCCCCTCAACAGTGAAATGCATTAGAAATATACAGTCCTCTGGCAAAACATACAAGCCCCAAGAGGTTGGCTCCCTACCTTACTATCCCCAGGCACCGCTGTGCACCCAGTGACACGTGCTTCAGTCTCAGCTTCTAAATGAGTGACCAACAGTTCACTCTGCAATCACCAAAATGAGCTCAAGCTCTCCTATGACACATTTATACCTTCTGATTAATTCTGAGGCTCTGAGCAGGATCAGATCTCAGAGGGGTGGGGGTGGTGGGAGCACAGTATTTCAGATGAGTTGACTCTGGCCCTGAATGCGCTCTCCAGATGCCTATAAACATCTGTATCTCTGAGACTCCCCCTGAGAAACCTATAATTGGTCCCCTGGGCTTTGTGGCCAACCTCTCCCCGCCCCTCCTGGGACCTCAGGAAAACCCTGCTTGCTCTCTGCAACCAGGATCACCCAAGGCCAGGGATCTCGACACTTGAGGAAGCCACCGGAGAATTCACTTTCAATGATCGGTGACTAAACCTGATCACTTGGCTTCGGTTAAGATTATCAAAACGAAAGCCTAGTGATTTTTACTTGTTTTTATTGGGGAAAATGAAGAAGGGGAGTGAGGAAATTGCAGATTTTGAAATGAACAGCACTGGACTATTCGACCATTACAACTTCTCTTTGTGCGACCAAATCCCAGCTCCAAGCCCCCTACCTCGGCTCATCTCCTGTTGCCAGGCAGGCAGCCGGATCATTTCCATTTGTATCTGAAATGACCGGGGAACCTGAGAGCTCTAGGGGCAGACACCTGGCCTCTGGCAGTTCCCCATCCCCAGCAGGGAAAATTTTTTGTGTAAAAGCAGCCTCTGCCATGCCCTGGGCTAGAGCCACTGCCTTAGACTCGGCCTCCAGTCGGTCCCTCATACTGCATCCACACACACACACCCCCACCCTAGCATGACCCCTGGGGGAGCCCCAAGCCTGCACACAAACCACAATCACCCCAGAACAGAACCAGTTTCCCGCTGCTGCTGGTATGGAGGGGTGTTCGAACGCAGCCCCACCCTAGGCCTGAGGCCCCCACCTGGGCCCACCCAAGTCAGGACTGCATTAGCCAGGATGGCTGCGGCCTTCTTCCTGCTGGAGCGCCCCCCACCCCCGCCCCGCACGCAACGTGACCTATCCGATTGCAGCCACCCCAAAGTTATGAGCCTTGTGAAACATCTACGGAACCATGGAGCGTTGGGGGGACTACAGTCCAACTAACTATTCCTTACCCAGGAAAGGGCCCTGCTGGAAGCCACAGAAGCAAAGGCCGCAGTCAGTGACAGAGTCAGATCTCAGGATTCCCAGCTCTGGGTTCGTCCTCCTCTTCCCCTCCCCAATCTGAAACCGGACTGTCCTCTGTCCCCAGCTTTCCCCACCTCAGGCCAGATCCCAAGGCCTTCCTGGTGACTGTTTTCATCAGCCCTGTCGTTCCCCCAAAAAACTCACCTGGGGCATATTTAGAGAGACGGGCCCCTCTGAATAGGATCTCCACTCCTCCGGCCAGAGAGGGGTGGGGGTCGAGGTCCAGGTTGTGGATGGGGGTCTTTGCTCTCCCCCTCTCTCACCGAGAGCCTGGCAGTTAGGCCGCGGTGTGGTCCTGGGCGGTCTGCCGCGCCCAAAGCGAGTTTCCAGGAAAGATGGGGGTGGAGAGAAAGGGAGGGCAAGAGGGAGGGAGAGAGAGAAATGGGGGTCAATGGCTGGGTATTACCTCATGTCCTCCTCAACCAGCCCTGGGGATCGCCAGCAGCTTTCCACCCCCGACCTGCAGGTGTTTGAAGCCTCCCCCGCACCCCCAGAAAAAAGAACCCTACACTTGACCAATCAGGAATAACTATAGAGTCCAACAACAACAGCTCGCCGGCAGACTGCCCTGAACATTATCGGACCCTCCAACCGGGATGTCTGGTTCAGTGTGGCCCGTTTGTTTTCTAAGCACTGACTCGTCTATAGCGGTTGGCTCTGGAACCAAAGTCAGGCGGGTCAGAGCTGCGGCCCCAACACCGGAGTCGTCCGCAGCCTGGCTTGGGTGGGTAGGGGGATGGGTGTACCAAAAGGGGGATTCAGTCTTTAGACCGTGGTCGGTGGGACAGAACCTCTGAGAAGCCCCATTCTCTCTCTGACTCTCACCGCCCCACCTCCAACCTAAACCGAAACCAGAACCCAATTCCAAAGACTACTTTCCCGAAGGGATACAACACAGTCTGAACCGCGGAGATCGGAGAGAATAGGGGGAAGGGGGTAGAGAATCTGATGTATCCAGGTCCCTTTTTTTTTTCTTTCTACCGTTAAGGGAAACAAACAAACAAACAAGGATTAGGAAGGGGAAAATAAAGAAAGCAATCAAAAAGAAAAAAAAGAAAGAAAGAGAAGGAAGGTCCTCGCCTCTCCCTGCAACCATCCCTACACAAGATTTTTTATTCTTTCGTACTCAGATCGGCAGAATACAAGAGAATTCTAGTAATTCTTTGCAGCAATAAACAAGGAAAGGAGGGAGGGTAAAAATAAATCCAATATTGCTTCCCAGGGTGTACTGGCAGGGAAATTTAGTTCGCCTTTTCTTTTCTTCTTTTTCCCCGCTTCCTCTGGAAGGTTTTGTTTAATTTGTTTTGCTCCATCGTTCAGTTTATGGTCACACATCGAAGTCTTGGATTAATAGCTGAGGCCACCTCTTTTTTTGCCCTGGCTTTAGTGAAAATACAGTAATAATTGTTCCCCGCAGTTTCAATCTAATGCAGGAGATTTTCTTTCTCCACTTCTAATTCAAAAGGGGGGAAGGGTGAGAACAAGGGGAAATCCAGTTGTGCCCGGTGTCTTAGGTCGAGGTTAATTTTTGCTTTAGGATGGAGTCTCTGTGCTCCTCCCTCTCTCCATTTCTCTCCTAGTCACAAACCCAGCAACTTAAAAAACAGAGCGCTGGTGAGAGGAAACCC